GTGAAACAATGCCTGCGCAACGCTCTTCGCGGAGATGGTTGGCAGCGGCACTGCCTCGGGATATCGCATTGCGTAATCCACTAGAACCAACACAAAGCAATGTCCCTGTGCACTCCTGTCTAATGGCCCGATGAGGTCCATGCCCATTCTCTCAAACGGTACCTCAATCAAAGGGAGAGGGCGCAACGCCGCTTTTGGGGTGGCCGGCGGGTTAACCAGCTGACATTCGCGYCAAGACGCGCACCACCGACTCACGTCTGCGTGAATGCCCGGCCAATAAAAGCGGGCCATTATCCGGTTCAGTGACTTCTCATACCCTAGGTGCCCTGACATGTGGTTATAGTGAGCCGCCTGGAAAACCATTTCCCGACGGCTTTTCGGCACCAACAACTGGGTGATCTCTTCTCCTGTCTGTGTGTCACGGCTCACCCGGTACAATCTGTCCCTAATGACTGAAAACCATTGGTGAGTGTGTGCTGCATCCGGAGAAACGGCGGAGCCGTCAATACTAGGGATGTACGGTGACGGTGTTAGTACAGTATACCATGGTATTTCACGGTGACGGTATTTAATTTTTTTAAAGATTTTTTTTGGTACTAGGGGCCATGAAATAACCAACAAAACAGACATTAGAAGAAAAACATTGCTTTATTTAAGCAAAACGTGTGTGTGTGTCTGTCTGTAAACCACCATAATCTCTCTCTATAGAATTCGGGTTCGCTTTGGCATGACGTCACTGCCATGCGCCAAACAAACAACTAATCTACAAGTGAACAAAGCGTTGCAAAGTGACGTAGTGATGCCTTGTAGATCTGTAGACAACAAGACCATCAATAACAATAACAATGCTCTTTGAATGAAACATCGTAGACCGACTACAGTGGGATTTATAATGATTAATTTTACCTGCTTGGACTTAAGCTATGCATATTCTTTGTTATGTCACTCGCGGAGATGGGACGTCATGTTAGATGTATTCGCCGATCTTGCAACTACTTTCCTGTTGCATAGTTTGCAAGTCGGCTCTCCGTCGTCCTTTATCCATCCGGTTGTTTTGGGTAGCTAAAAAACTCCCAAACAAATGAACGGAGTCGCTTGGCTAAAGAGGATAAAGAGGTGGTGGAGTAGGGGACACCGGGTCAACCGGGCCCGCGGGTAAATCCGCCTCTGGTTCAGAGTCTGCCATCATCAAGCCATGCTTTTTTCATGTGGGTCTCGCGTGTGTTTATCAAAACTACCTTTTTGATTGGACTGTCACTGAACCAACTAAAAGACGCTGACCATGCAGCCTGCCCTGAACTAAATGGAATATACATTTGAGCAGCACAAAGGTAGGAAACGCTTTTTCAATCTACTGCTGCCGCTGTAAAATTAGATTATAATGTGACTGAGTGAAGACTGACCACCACTTATCTTAATGTGAACGTGAAGTGAAATGTTTTATTTGTGAGTTCCCTACTCGTGTAAGTGGAGTCGCGCCCCGGCAGCGCCGCATAATATTAAAATAATTAATTCATTACCGTCACGGTAATTACCTCCGGGCGAGGCTCCTCTACTCCCGTCGCCACCTCGACAGTCTCGGGCTCCGTTTCCCCAGTGAGCATAGCACACAACTCACATTTCCCTTCCGTACGTGAACACACCCCCACCGCCGCTCTCGCCTGTTTCCGGAACCCCGGCCAATCTGTGCCCAAAATCAGGGGGTGCGTGAGATGGGAACTAAACCCCAGCTTCGACTCTATGTTTTTTTTCCCTTATATGAAATTAGCAGAGTCACCACTGGGTATTCGTGAACATCCCCATGCACACACCTCACCTTCACCCACGACGCCTCGACCAATGCCCCCGTTCGAACCAAGCGCTGATGGATCATCGTCTGATTACAGCCCGTGTCCAGCAGACTGGGCAGGATCGACGGCTGCCGGGCTTCCTCCTTCTGGCTCCTCCGGGGGAGTGAGAGGTGGTCCCCGGGGCGGTGGCACTGGACCCAATTGGCCATGGAGGTGGGCAAACCTGCGCTGAATTGCTCCAGCGCCACCTGCACCACGACGCACTCCGCTGGAGCCATCACCTCGCCGCATCCAGGAGCTGCTGCGCGTAGGAGAAGGGGGGGCCGGCGTCCTCGAAGGCCCCTGAACTGGCGTCGGTGTCCCTCTGGAGCCTGGCCGGTCCGGGTTTGCCCTCCTCAGCTGGTGATATTCATGCCGTGAGGAAGCCGGCAGACTGTGGCCGGCCAGCTGCGCGGCACCGGTGAGCAGCGGCAGCAAGCGCACAGCCCTCTCCTCCTCCGGCCACCTGCAGGCCTCTGCCGTGCCCTCGAAGAGGTCCAGGTACTCCTCCATGTCGTCCTCCGGGGTCATCCGTTGGAGGGCCACCGTCGACACCGACTGGAGCTGGTCCCTGGCTTGGGCGGCGAGGTGGCCGGACGCTGCAGCAGTTCCTGCAGGAGAGCCCGGTCCTCGCGCTGATACGCCGCGATGTCGGCGAGGGCCTGCGTCTGGGTTTGCTGCAGCGCCACGGTGCTCTCCTGCATCGCTGCCAGGTGTTGGAGGGCTTGTCCCAGGAGGCTTTGTCCCTCCATGCTCTCCTCTCACGTCCCTGTACAGGTGCCACTTGTGGGAATACTCGGCCCACTCCAGGTAAACAAGGGAGGAGAGAATGGCGTTTGCTCAATAGTCTTTATTTCCAAGGTCGCCTGGCCTGGCAACCACACACATATAACTACGGGTCTCTCAACCCACACACACGTTCACATACGTCCTCCGGCTGCTCCAGTCTCAGGAACCCAGCCTACTGCAAGAGAACAGAACCAGGTTACCAGCGTGCTCTTATTGATGGCCTGATTACCTGATTCTGCAAAGCTGTCTGATCACCGGCTGAGCCACTCCTCCCTGTTGTCCAGCAGTTGGCACCCTAACCACATCCTGCCATCACAGATACATTTGGGAATTTTAATTTGTATTAGTAGGATAATTAATAATAATAATGGATATTATCCATAGAAGGAAAACCTAGTTTTATTTGCTTAATAAAACAATTAAGACAAAACATACAAAAAAATCTAAAATCAATCAAACCATATTCTATTCAAAATATGACCAACAACTAAATTATCCTTTTTCACAGAACATAACACTTGTTTAAGGCACCACATCTTAAAGTCTTCCACTTATTTGTCAAAAACTGAAACAGTGAAGAGAGCCAACCACACTCTAGAAAACAATGAATAACTTTCTCTCTCTGTGGACAGGTATCAGCAACATCTGAATTGATCACAGAAACAAACGCATTGACAGCAACAATTCATTTAGAACCCAAACAAACAACAGGAACTCAACAAATAAACAACTAACACAACTCTTATAACAAATAACACCAAACACCACCCTGTGGAAGAAACACAAGCAAAGAAGGTTTGAAAACGTAGACACTTTCACAAACGCTCTCCAAAGCACTCACCCAGTCACTCTCAGCATGCACTCAGAGAGAGTGAGAGAGAGAAGTGTGCAGTGGAGTCAATGAGTGTGCGTCTATGAGTGTTGCACACTCACTAACCCTAACCCCGAAAGACTAATTGCAGTCTAGCTATGATGGGATGGCTTTTTTCCCACTGCAGTGCAACATATTACCATGATTTAGCGGTTTACTCCCGCAGTAGGCATCACATCAGTGAAGCCTGTCACATGAGTGAAGCATCTCAACCTCTGGAAACACATGACAGAGGATACAAAGCCTCTGTCAGGGGGACAAATACCTATAGCCAAGATCTTTGGCTTGCACAAGGGCCTTACATGAATTTTCAGGGTCTGTGACTCTGGTTCCATATCCTGCCTTGCACCTGGGATAGCATATGCCTCCTAAACACAAGATGCCTTGCAGTGTCACAGGGATCTCCACCATCCAAAGTCTCTCTGGCTAATTCGGCGTCATCAAAAGAACATGGGCGTGCAGTAACCTCCCCTTCTAAGGAAGGCCAGCAGTAGAAGCCTCAAACAAGGCTGTGAAAGGGACAGAGCCTCTCTAGGGGGCATACATCGATGACTGCACAGGACAGAGAGTGTTCTCCACTGTGGCAAAGAGATCTACCTCCACCTGATGAATGTGACCCCACCATCTGCAGGTGCAAGAACCAATCACCAGATTGGGGGCCTCCTTGTGACAGCAGATGTGCAGCTGCATTCTGCAGTCCCAGAAGATAAGATGCCCACAGGACCACGCCTTTGGACTTTGGACCTTTTGGACCAAAAAGCAACCTTTGAACTGTTGCATACAGTGATGGAAACTTCAACATAGCCTGGCAATTAATGTATGACACCACAGCCACTGCTGTCTGTTCATACTATGAATTGCCTCCCCAGTAAATATGGAAGGAAGTGCCTCAGTCACATGGTTACTAGTTCACTGAAATGAAGACTGAAGATTTCTATTGATAGACCCTTTCCATCCAATCAAGCCCTGCAGAACTTTTATAGAATTGCCCTAAGACTTGAAATTGTAACTGCTGCCATAGGGACAAAATATTGAATTGAACATGATAATACATTTGTGAAAAAACAAAAAACATGTTTTCTTTTTATCATTATGGGTTAGATTGGGTGTGCATTGATGAGCAAAAAAACCTTCCATCCATTAACAGCAATCAACAAAAATACTCCTGTGATTTAATTATATTGTGATGAACAATTACTTGTTTACTTCTCTTATTTATTTACATCTGAGATAGACAGAGATGAGAAAATACATGTGAACAGTAACATTATGATCTAAACAGTTTGCTGTACAGACGTATGTCCCTATCCGAGTCTGACCCACTGTACTTCAGGCAATTGTCTTTACAGTTTTCCTGTGCAATAAGTTTATTCCTGATGACTTCAGGTTGAGATCCAAATAAAGTGGTTTGGATTATCAGTAATCTGTAAATTTAAATGTATTTGGTTTACAATGTGTCTGATCATCTGACTGCACATGTTTCTGGACAGTCTGATTTAGTTGTTACAATGATGCCTTTTTCCCAGATCTACTTTGATGAGCATAGTGTGTTCCATCAGGTAGTCTTGATACATAGAACCACAAAAAGAAAATGTGTAATAAACCAGAATTATCATTAAATGCTGAGCTCTTTGCCTGTCAGAAATAACTTGCTTTAGTAATTCTTCTCTCCTTAATTCCAGGCCCTGACTACATACGACAGAAGTACAATGAGCCAGTAGAGGTGAAAGAGGTTCCTGTGGACGACAAGAAGCAAAAATCTCCATCAGGGAGCCCCCATTTCTACCGGAAAGGAACAACACCCAATCAGTCTCCATCTCCGAGCCCAGGCCCCAGCCCCACTCCTTCACCCGCCGCTGTTAAGAAGAGCTTTTTTAGCAGTAAAACCATCACCCCTGCAAAGCCTGCTGGGAAAGAGAACAGAACCCAAGCAGCTGAGTCTTTGACAGCAGGTGAGGAACTTGGGTTGTTGTAATTGTACAGGATTTATACAGTATTTGATGTCTAGGCCTTGAGCATCTCATGCACATTGTGTTGTGTAGGATCATGCTGGAGGTGTGGCTAAATTGTTTTGTAGCAGCAACACAGTGAGCAGCAGTAATGATTTAAGTGGCAACTTGTGTGATATTGTAACATTGCTGTGGCCATGTCTCTGGGCTTTGAGCACAGCTGACAGCACTACAGTACTGTGGCTGAAGGACTCCTGTTTAGACACTAATGGGCTGCTTTCACCACGCTGCCTACATATACATAGTCCACGTCCACACTAATATTTTGTTTTGTTTTCCCCTGCGGTCCACACTACACCAGAGACTATTGGAGACAATGACAGAGGCCTACGCTCTCTTCCTGATTGGGTCTTGTCAGTCACTTACTGTCAGTTTCAGAGTTCGCCCTTTTCACCAGTCCAAAACAAGGAATCCAATCAAAAGAAATCTGATCAACTACAGGCAATCAACTTCCTCTTTACACCAGCACACACTTAACCAGCGATGTGAGAAGACAAGACAAGAGTCTATTGTTAGTCTCATTATTAGGAAATTCACCATGTTACAGCAGCAAATAAGTGATAGTAAAATTGAGTAAAGGTAATAAATATATATATAAAACAAAAGGAACTATAGAAAATTGAAATATATATATATAATGTAAACTGAATAAAATATAGTATATAAACAGCGTAGCAATATTGCACATATATGATATTGGAAGTGCACTGATAGAAAAAGTATTATTGTACAGTATTTAGTTATAATATTTATATTTAGGGTATGTGTGGTGTACTGGAAGCAGGGTTGGTTCTACAGTCTAACAGCAGCAGGAAGGAACGACCTGCAAAACCTCTCCTTCAGACACTTTGTGTTGTCCTGCAGGGGGTGGGACTGTTAATCCTAAAGAGAGGACAGCTTAGGTTACATCCATACTACTACATTTTGATTTGTAAATGGTTCTGCATCAGTTATAATCCCAGTCCAACAGTCCATACTGCAAATGCCTATCACGTGGTCACTCATGTACACTGGGCGGATGTGTGCTGGTTTAAACACAACAGGCAATGGAAGAGTCTGAGGATCAGGAGACACTTGGAGTTCAACCTCTTAACCCAGAGCCAGACAAAAGCAGCTGCTGGTGGAACCACATGCCCTGTGATTAATGGACAACCCAACAAATACATGAACTACTTCTTTGATTAACTAGCTCTCTTCTCTTTTCCTTTCCTCTATTCGGCAGGCTTAACAAAAACTGCATCAAACCTTTCTCTCAGACAGGAAGTGAGGCCACAGGAGGCTCCTCCAGTAGCCAAATCAGCTGTTACCACAGCAGCCAGCATTCACCCCAGCAATGGGCAGATTCACTCCCAGTATCACGGTTACTATGTCAAGGCAGATGTCAAGAGTCCACCACCCGATGATCCAATTGGTGCAGAGGATCACCCATCAAGCTTTGCTCGGTTGCCACCGCCTGCCAAACAGATTCAGACACCAGCACTAAAATCCTTGCCAGCACAGAGTCCTTCACCAGCTCTCCCAAAAGAGAGCACCAAAGCACCAGAGCCTCTTAAGCCAAAAAGACCGGAATCCACCAAACCAAAGAGCCTCGCAGAAACCAAGAAAGCCAGCATGGAAATAGCTCCTGAAATTGTAGAGGAGGAGTCGGTGAGTTAGATTACCATAATGTTTGATTTAGCTTCTAACATTTTTTTTCCATCAATCCCCAGCTGGAATTAAACCAATTAGCAGATGAACAAAAGCAAAACCAGAAGAAATTGGAAGGGGGCAAATATTTTTTCAATCAATCAATCAAATTTTATTTGTACAGCCCATATCCAGAAATCACAATTTGTCTAATAAGGGTTAACAAGGTGCAATGCCCTCTGTTATTAACCTTCAACAAGACTGAGGGTGAAAAAAATCATTTTAGGAATTTAGAGACATCAATGTAAACAACCACATGAGGAGTTCTGTTTTTAAACCAACTAACTCCTGAATAAAATAGGGTATTGACATTACAGATTCTGCTAATATTTAGATAGATAATATAATTAGTTGTATACTTGACATCAATCATTTTTAAATGTAATAACAGCCAGATTTGGATTATATTTACTTGTAAAAGCAACATAGTTGGCAAACTATGGTAAATTAATTGCATTGATATAGCGTTTTTCTAGTCTTATTGACCACTCAATACATGTTCATAGAGAGTTTCTATATCCAGTGCACATTATTAACACTGGCAGCACAGTGTCTTGCCCAAAGACACTTGAGCCAGGGATCGAACCACTGTCCCTCTGGTTATTGGATGACCCACTCTACACCACAGCCACCCACATGGCAATGAAAGAAAACACCAACAAGGCTGGGTGTTATTGCCAAAAATATTACAACAAGGATTTATCATATGAATTGGTATACACAATTATTAATGTATAGACTTAATACCATTAATGAGGAAAGAAACACAAATCAGCACGCAGTCTATTTGCTGTAACCTTATACTCAAATGCAGGATATTGATCAAAACATACTCATAAGTTATTCCTTCTTGTTGTTATTCAATTTTTTCCAGCTGTTGGATGTCAACAACTTTATTCTGGCTACTGTCTGAAAATAACAGTGGGATCATCTTGTTCATTTATTTATGGAAAGACTTTACACTCTTAAAGACCCTGCTCTACACTGCACTACTACTCTATTTGCCAACAGTATGATTATTATTTATAAGATCTGTTCACATCTCCATGTAGTTTGTGTGCCATGTACAGTTATATATACACTGTGAGCAAATTACATAAATCAAACTCCTCCATCAAACAGACATCAAATATGAGCCTTCTTTGAATGTAAATATGCTGTTACCTTCAATTTCATAAACTAGATAAATACAAACAAAGTCAACCGTAATCATATTAATTCAGTACTTAGTAACCCCATCTTATTATTTATTTAGGAATTTTCACTTGCAGATCACTTCAAGTTAACATAATATTGTCTTCACTGTGGTCTGTGGGGCCGTGGTCAGAAAGCTCAGTTTTAACTTCATCTGTCCATAGCTACTGTTTCTTAAACCACACTGTATCCAGATGTCACTCTGCAGACTTTGGACATTGACTTTTGCAATGAGGTGACTGCAGTTGTGTTGGGTCTTTCCATCCAGCAGACTTCCAGATTTATCTTCTTGGTCTTCCAGATCTTGTCTCGTCTTCCACAGTTTCCCTTAACTATCAATCAATCTATCAAATTTTATTTGTGTAGCTCATATTCACATATCACAATTTGTCTCATAAGGCTTTAACAAGCTGTGACCTCCTCTGCCCTTAACCTTCAACAAGAGTAAGGAAAAACTACCAAAAACCCTTTTAACAGGGACTATCATTTCTAACTGACAATTAACACAGTGTCATATATGTTCTTAAATGTTTTCTTATTTTTTAAGTTTGTAAAATAAAATATATTAATTATATCAGTAAATTACCATTTGGATAAAGACTTATTTGTAATGTCAGTTTGCTGCAGGGGTTCCATGTACTTATTTACAAATGTATTCAGAAGACATAATACAAACTTTTCTTGTGTTTCCACAGGGCCCTAACTCTATCTTGGTGGCTCTTGTGATGCTGTTGAATGTAGGTCTAGCAATCATTTTTGTCCATTTCCTCACCTGACCAAATCTCAACTCAGGTAAAAACTGATTGAATGAACTGTTTCTAACTTCAGTTTGTAATACATATATTAGACTGTGTTGATAATTTTTGGTTACATTCGTTTTTTTCTAATCTTACTAGTTCTTTAAAGCCATATTTACTACACCTTTATTTTATATTTTCACTAACACACCAGTGTATCTCTGGACACATGATAAACTCGCATCATCATCCATTCTAAAGGGGTAATACACATTAGCTATAGTGGCTTAATTACTCTCCTGTGAAACTGGCTTGTGCGTCAGCCAGGCATTGACTGATATGTGGTAGAACAGGATGTCAGTACCAGATAATACAACCTGTCCTCCACCTCCAGTGATCTGTTTGTCCTGTGCCGAGTAATCCAACACAAAGCAGAGGCAAGTTTTAAATACAGAATCCATATAAATCAGTTATAATTTCCCTAATGCCCATGTTGCAGTTTTTGATAGGTAGAGGAAGTGCATGAGTACAGATCTCTCTGTACTTTTTCAAAAGAGTGGTTGCGATATCCACAGTAAATGGTCCAAGTACCCAGGCATCAAACCAGGGACTGCTTGAGGGATATGCACCCTAACCATTCAGCTATCGGGTTTTCCAAACAGTTTTTTGTTTTAAGTCATTTAAAAGAATTTAACCATAATGCTGGAGCTTTCATCTCATGCTCTACTGGTCGATTGGTCTATTTCTTCATTTCCCATTAGCCTCCCAGGATTCATGTTGTTTTGACATTGGCGAGAGAGACAGACCACCTTTGAAAAGAGGGCGGTTCACTACTTTGGACTTGCCCAGTCTAATAACTAGATTTAAGTTATTAAACGTTTACTGAACATTACCTCAGACTTATCTAAGTGATGGAAGACATAAGTCATACGTGTGGTTGTATTTTGTAATGAAATAAATTGTTGGTGAGTGTAAACTTTTCATATCACAGCTCAGTGTTAAGATGCTCTATCATCTCTGAGTTTAACCTTTGATGCTTTGAGCACAAGCATATCACAACTGGCATTTCAATATTTGGTGAAATAATATGAATATGCAGCCAATACTTATCCAATTATACATTTGTGTATTCATAATTTATTTAGATTAATAAGGCGACTACATAGAGTGCACTCAATGCACTGTGGCTGATTTAGTTATTCTAGACATAATGAGCAGACCTTGAGGTAAATTTTTTGTTCTTTAGTGGCGGTGGATGCTCAGTTTTGTTTGACTGCAGCCATCTGTGCATAACACTGTGCCGATTAGCACCTACCTTTCAAACATATTAAATATAGACGCAGTCACAACAACCGCAATTTTTTTCAGGCTTGTAAATCACATTGCGTGTGCTAAATTAAAGTATTTGCATCTACTCCTCCCAATATTTTGCACACTCAAGAAGCATCACCCGATCTTGCATATTCATTAGGCAAACATACTTAATGGACAGTGCGTTATTCTGCATGCAATCCTCAGTGCACATCGTTAGTAGAACAGCTTGCATGGTTTTTTTACGGGTGAAATCTAGTTTGCACACGTTTTTACACATGCAAACCTTTAGTAGATGGGGCTTTTAGTGTTTTAGGAAAAAAAGGACTAAGATCAGTAATAACTGATATGCTTAACATGAATGGTTGTTGTATCCAGAAGCAGCTGCCATACAGGGGAGAGATACTACACAGTGAATGTTTTATTCGGGGCCCACAGACACAGTTAAGGGTGCTTTAACTCCAAACCTTTGATGTAATGCTTGGATACTGCTGTGAATTATACGATATTTACCAGAAATGCTGATGCTTGCAGGTTAACACACTAATTCATTTGTTGGCTTAATACCTTCCACTTGCTGTTTTGTTTTTGGTTGTTGGAGAGAATAGTTAATTAGCTAAATGGTTAAATTGCTGAGTGTTGCTTTTACTGTAGTAAGATGCATGCAGAGAAATCCAGAGCTTGACAGCAGAGGCACAGCAGCTTAGCTATAATTGGACAGTTCCTACTCTGAGGAGATATTCAGCAGTGAGTTGAAAGTGAAGGTCTGTTTTGAATATAAGCACCATTGTACTAAATTGATTATTTGGCCACTATGCATATAATATATAAATATTTTAATTCATATCATGTTTTTAGTTGCACTATAATTTCTGAGGTGTTACTTCACTGATCCCTTACCTTCACATAAGCACATAAAACAACTAAATAAGTTGTTGATCTCTTTTTAAAATCCTTTTTTTTTTATCTGAAGAGTTCTGGTTCTCTTTCAGTTCAGGTTATTTTAATATACCTTCCTCGTTGTAGTATGGCAGCAAACATAGTATGTGTATGACATTCACCATAATACCAGATTTCCCTAACCCTCAACTTTTCTGACCCTGCAGTGGACTCATCCAAACTAGTCTCCGAGCTGCTAACCCTCCACCAGCCACAGAGGCCTTTCAAATAAACAACACCAGTCAGAACAGCAAACACGGGCAGAACGGAGGACTGAAAATAGACTAGTGAAGAAGGAGTAGGAGGAGGAGAAGTGGAGCAGAAAAACACATGGAGAAGAAAGAGAGAGGGGGAAGCAGAGAGAGAGAAAGATGAAACCTCCTTCACCACCACCACAACCCCACACCCCACCCAGCCCTCGCTCTCTGGATGGACTGAATGACTGTGTTTGGTGCCCGAGTCCAACCTGATTGGACTGGCGATAATTTGTGACTCCACTCCAGAGTGCATTGAAAGCTGAAGCAAGCAGTTACTGGTTGGAAATGGGCCCTTTAGCCCCAACTATGGATTCTCTAACAGGGTTAGAAATAACAGGAGACCTGGAGAGAAGAGCGGATGTGAGAGAGTGTGAGGCCTGGCATCTATACTGCCTATAAATGCCTGTAATGTGTGTGCTTCACTCTTCTAGCTCCATTTCCATCTAGCTGTTTGGCAAATATGGAAGTTTTGAAATGCTGCAATAAAAAGTTTGTGCCTAGTCCAGCCTCGTTGAAGACAATTTGTTTCCTAGATGATCTTACAGAAGAACTGAGAGTGTCTTCACTGTGTTGATTAGTGCTGTTAATTATTAGTAACTGTTCTGATGTTGGTCATATGCTATGATTTTATTTTATTTATCTACCATCAGACAGGATACCTACACTTTAGAGAGACAACAGGCAGTCAGATACGTCACAATAAGCATTAAATAACTGTAGTGCACTTTAATTCAGCTGTTGACCAGGTCAGTTACGCCTAAGCCTTTATTAGTGCATCAACCAATGCTATATGGTGTGTTGTTGAAGAAAAGCATTTTTCTGCTTCTAGTAAGCATGAGGCATTTTTTTTTTGACTTTTTGAATCAACTCTCCTCTTATGTAAAAATCTACACATAACTGTTGGATGGAAACCAGGCTTGTGTGTCTCTCAGTGTATTTGACATGTTTTTCTATCTGCTTCTCTCGTGTGTGTGTGTGCGTTCACGTGTGTGTGTGTGTGTGTGGGCCGATGGTGGACTGGAAATGTTCTGAGATGCACTTTGAGCTGATGGAAGCCGACAGCTGCCTTACCGTTTTACAGAGTGACGTGTTGGTGGGTGAGAAGGGCCCGGACAGGAATGTGAAGCGCTTGGCTGATTCTAACTCCTGGGAGAGTGGCTCCATTTCTATCTGTCTGTCTATCGATCTGTTCATGTCTGTTTTTATCTTTCTGTGGGTCTCTCAGTGCCTGCCTGCCATATTCTATATCAGATGCACATAAGATGATCAGAGGGCTTTTATTCCAAAATGAAAAGATGAAAACATGACTACAACATCCTTGTTTTTAAAGCAATAATTGCAGTTTGCAAATTTAATATTATTTCCTGCAATCTCTCATTTTTGGAATGGATGATTGACAGATTATTTTTGACAAACTCACTGTTTGTGTCTATCTTCACTGATGCTGGCTCAACCATGAATTCATGTTTCTGTGTTTTCATTTCTTTTGGCAGTCCTCATTCCTCCTGAGCTTAATTTAACCCTGGCTTGTGTATCCTGTTTATAACAGTGTGGAGTGTGACAGCTGTATGTGCCACGCTGTTTCCTAAGGGAGTTTTTTTAAATAAATTAAATTAAAATAAAGATTCTTAATATCTGAATGAGTGAAATTCATCTAGTTCTAATTTCAGGCTTGAGTAATATCATTGAATTTTCAACCATGAACTGAATTCCTGAGAGGAATGCAGTGTGGATTTGTGTTAGTGACTGCAGAGAAGATGTTTCACTTAGTGCAATACATGAACAATGTGAGTAAACATTAATACAGAAGGTGTTGTCGTTTCTTCTGTACGTCTTCTAAGAAGTAGATTATCTCTTGAAGCAAAGGCAGAGACACAGTGGAAAATGAACAAAACTAAAATTGTGATGGATGATTGATGCACCTCACTGTGAGAATCTGTAGATTTGGTTGTATGCATGTGTTTTACCCAAACAACTCTAAAGTGTTTCAGATCTGCTTTGGTCTAAATCTCTGTCAAGGGTCAAAATCAACTTTCAATGTTGTGAGAGGTCTGTCTCATTCCTCCTGCTGAACACAGACATCAGGCAGTTACATGCCTAACTCTTGTTTGGAGTTGTAATATGAAGTGAGATGAAGACTGTGTGTGACTGACCATATTTGCACTGTTATGCATGAGCAAAGAGACACAGCAGAGATTTACTCATGAAAACTGAGGAATGACCAGACTGGAGTCAGTTAAATGTTTTTTTCCTCCACTGCTTCGAGCTAAGGTTTGCTGAAAGGCTATTGATCCTTTGTCGTCCTAGTTTTATACTATGTGGTTGATTCTCTGACCATTCTGGGAAAGGTGGATCGATAAAAAAACTTTTTTACTGTTGTGGTTTGTGTAATGCATTTGATGCAATGCCATTAATTTGTGCAAAACTAAACTACTAGTTAAGAGACCTGTGGTTTTAATAACAGACACCATCCAAGGAATCCTTAGCTTAACATTTTTGCCTTCACAACATATGTTAGAAAACATAGAGGCATCACTCAGAATCTATACATCATTTATTTATTTATATATATTTTAATGTGGAAACGTGTGTTTGCATCTTCAACCAAGTTAGCTTGCTGATTAAGCTGAATAGTAATTGACATTTTTCTACAATCTCTATTTCATGTATATGAAGAATTGATTTCTAATATGTGCTCAACTTTACAGCATGGTACTGTTCAGTTTAACTGAGGACTTTTGATTTATTTTTCCGTTATTGTTCAGTATACTGAAACATACACTTTATTTTGTGGGTTTGTGAGTTACAATTATTTTCCATTTAGTTATTTAATTTCCAGGGAACTGGAAATAACTAAGAAATGTAAAATAATGTGTAAAATAAAACATGATAGAAGGTGTTTCCCCGCCCCCAAGACTTTAGATATCATACGGTGTACAGTCAGGTTTATTACCAACCTTTGATATTTGTTTTTCAGTTTCTTAACTAATATATTTAGGATTTTGTCCTGTAGAGTAATTAGGTGGTTTATCATTCATATTTAGATAAAGATGACATTTGTACATGGGTTGGATGATGTGGAGCTCTCTGCTCTGTTGTATGTGGTATCCTGTTTGAATTTGAACAGGCAGGATGAAGATTCTGAGTTACTTCAGGGTGATAACTGTGCTGCTGTTGTTCATTATTATCAGCTGGAGTATCAGTGCCTGTAGAAATAGTACAGTAGCTGTTTGTTCCAGTTTTATTTAAATGATGAATGCCCCTAAGGTATGATTTGACAGTAATTTGTTTGATTTAGATATCTGTCAGAAGGTCATGGCATATGAAAAAAAACACTCAGCACAGTGTGACGTTAGCTTTCAGTTTATGTCTGCTAACTTCTCAACAGTGTATACTTTCTTAATGTATTCAAACCTGCTTGTGTGTGAATGCTGGTTTCAAAATGAATTATTAGCCTTTTGAAAATTAATGCCTGTTAATATTATATATTTAAAATATGTATCTGTATTTTTTGATGAAAGTTTTAGATAGAAACATTTAAAATCTTAATGAAGTTTACAGTTGGGAAAGAAAAAGCATTGTCTTAAATATGTCTCCTCCCTGATGGCTGGATTAAGCATAACGTTTTTGTTGGAATGTGGAAACTTAGTTCAGTAGTTTTGTTGCCCAAACCAAAGCAGAGACAGAGTGAAAATAAGAAGTTTGACGCAAACAAACCCCAATCTCCAAGTTTTATGTATTTAACCACTCACTCACACATTTTACTTCATGTGTGTACTATGTCAGTATTTGAAATAAACTTAATGAAACAGTTTTGCTGCCTAATGAAACAGTTTTGCTGCCTAAACCAAACCAAACTGAAAATAAGGAACATAACAATACGCTAGCAAAAAAACATAGCACTAATGAAGGAGCTCATTCTTACTATGTTCTCGGCTAGCATGGCTGTGGCAGCAGACCTACCTCTAAAAGATGGAATAGAGAGCAGTGACTGCGGGAGGCCCAGCTCAATGACTGCATATTGTGTGACACAGACCAGGGTTCTTCACTAGGTAAAAACTTTGTGCCCAAACCCAAACCACTGGAAATGTGGTACCTGTGGAGCCAGAACTGTTTTGTTTGTTTTGAAAACCATGTATACGTCCACACAGAACTAAGAAGTGCTGGAGCTATGCTAAACTGTGAAATATTAGTCACACAGAGGCCCACTCTGCATAGTCTTCACCACTGATTCACAATCTACCGTCACTTTACAATTTGCCAAACAAAGTATGTGTCTTGCCCAATGTAACTTAAGTCACCAATTCATTGACATCACAGACTTCATTGTGGGTCTTTTTTTTTTCACTCCCTTTTTCCCACCTGCACTTTCTCATAATGTAATAGTTATGCAATTACACATTGTAAAAACACACAGCAAATGTTCCAGCAGGCTCCAGCATGATCAGATCACAGCTGGGTCCTCACAGATCCACTGTAGTATTACACGTTTAGAAGATCCGTGAGCATTTCACAATAATCAACCAACTACTGTATAAAATGTGGATCCAAACCTGTACAGGTCCATGATCAGATCTCTGGATACTTGGGTTTGGGTCGACCCGTGAAGACCTCTAACACAGACAGTCAGAGGACATGGGGAGGTGCTGGCTGATCTTCTCTAAGTGCGGCATAAGTGCAGGAAAGATTACTGACTTTTTGTGAGAGTCACAGCTATATCATAGATCAGCAGGGCCAGTACCAGTGTCGCCACAGTCCTGCTGTTGTGTCATAGTGAATAATACAGCCCTCAATATCTTGATGAGCTCTGAATATAGTCAGTTTGCCCTTTTGTTGTGTCCTCTATCACTGCAGAGAATCAAACGCTGTTAATGTACAATGTCATATGCTTAAAGGCTTGCTAATGCTAATGCCATGAGCAGCTATGTGTGAGAGGCATAGAGACTCCAGTGAGCTATTGTTCTGCATTATATATGGTGCAGCAGCTGACTGCATTCGTTCCTATTTATTATAGACATAAAATTTGCTGAGAAAAAAGTGTGTACTTTCTGTGCCTGCAGGGTGAACCCTAGAAATGATAGTATGAACACTTTACATCAGGTCTTATCACGAAACACATGACACGGAGACTGTTTGATGTAACTTTAAAAATTGTGTGATTGAGTTATTTGCTAATTGCTAATTTCCTTACATGACATGTCTTAGTTTGGTAAAAAACATAAGACAGTCCCCACTTGAGAGTCTGAAAATTCTCAGCTTTTCATCAAAGCTGGTTTCCACATTAAAATAAAAATAAAATGTAAATCCAGTAAGTTGGAAATAGCCCATAAATTACATTGATCACATGCATTTAAAGAAAAACTTAAATGAAGCTCTTGTGAGTCGATGAACAGAGATAAAGTTAATGAGCAAAGCTTTGGTTGATTCTGTGTTGGAATCTTTTTTTAATGGAAACTGTAATGAAAGATGAGCAGCATGAACAGTGAGGGTGTAGCATCGAATGCTTGACCGTTATCAATTGTGTGACAATTGGGGAACAGTTTTTGTTGGCAAATGCGAATCCTAATGTACTATTGTAACTGATAGAGGATTGTTTGGCTTATTGGTATGGTAGCAGGGGAGTGATTTAACTTTATGGTAGTAAAGCTCATAGTTACAAGTTACGAAAGTCTGAAAAACTGCATTCGACCCACTCTTCAGCAAAATCATTAAAATGTATCACATGATTTATTGCCCAGTCAGACCAATCAACACCTCTCTTGAAAGCAGATTTATTAAGAGCTGAACATGGTCACCTTCATGAAGGTGGACTTGGTGTATGAGTGTTGCTTTTGACTGCATTTTAGCCTTGTGTATAACTGAGTATATACATACACATGTGATAAAAATCATTGGTGCTGTTCCACTTAAAAAACATTAATTTGTTGAACATTGAGGTCAGCTTGTATCTGTTTGGAAGTTTTCCTTGGTTTATTTTCCACATCCGTGGAAGTTGGCTATGGTCCCAGCCCTATCCATCCACACACTCATTAGCTATACCTCTTCTTTCTCTTGTCCAGATGACAATGGGTGAGAGGTGGGGTATGCACCCTTGACAGGTCACCAGTCTCTCACAGGGCTGGCCAGCAGGTTCAAACTCAGAACCTTCTTACTATGAGGCAGTAGTGCCCACCACACCATCGTCAATGTTAGCTGCCTCTAAATAACTAACTGCTTTGATATTTTTTCTTGATCATTCTTGGAAATTATCTTTGTTCATTGTCGCTGTCTTCTCTTCATTTAAATAGGCTGAATGACTGATAGTAAGACTTAGGGCCAGTATGATATCAATTAAAGACAAGTCTGCTGGAAATATCACAACAATCCACTAATTCATCACCACTAACATATACCATTATTTCATCCTCAGCATTTTAGAAGATCCTTGTAGAATAAGCAAGAATTCACCCAACTAAAGAGTTTAAGTCTCAACATTTCAGAAAGAACAGAGCATTGTTTCATTGAGGTGTAAGAGTACCAATATACACACACACACACACACACACATACACACACACACACACACACACACACACACACA